TCAAAGTCATTAGCATTCCAAAGTAAATAAAGTCACGAAAATAATACTTAATTGGAAAAATAAATAAAGTGTAATGTTGTGCATTCTGATTGGCTGAAATAGCTTGACCAATCAGATCGTTGAAGTAGAAGAACCAGTCCCTTTTCAGCAGCCCTTTTGCCGGTAGAGGGTACTTTCTGACGTGCCGAGGTGGGCCAAAATTGTGCTCTCTCTGCTCACATACGGCACATTCAGCCTTCGCCTCTTCGGCATGTGATGCCCTGTGTCAGTGTGTGTAGTCGTGAAGAATCGCTCGCAGAGCTGACCTTCTTAATGTGAGTCTACGACGCCTATTTAACCAGTTTCACGCAATAGATTTCGTATTGTGCTGACTTTTTTTAGCCTCTTCACATGTCGCAAGACATGTTTGGCCCTAATTATGACTTAAACCGGTTGCTGATGTCAAAATTAGGCTATTTCGGTCAAGTCAGTGGCAGTTTCTAGGCGACTGGGGACGCGTCGACTTTGCTTTTTTTTAAAGTGGGTTGACCCCGGTTTAGCAATTTGATCTTGTTGTCAGGCCGACCTGGTTGGACGCCCCTTGTCGGAAGTCCCCGGCCATAACAGTTGTCCGAATTCCCAGCGTCACACCGTTTACTTGGTACAGCAGCAGACCTTTCGCCAGCACCGTGAGTGGTTCTTTCTATTCTCCGTACCAATCTCCGCTACAACGAGTCAGAGACCGGTCAAGTCAATCACTTTACCAACTTTATGCCGAGCAATCGGACGATCTGGATCCTCCGCATGGTCCTGTAGATTCGTATCATATCTTTCTGCTCGACCCAGTTCACTCGGTCTGCGACTGGAACAGAGTGGAACGTAGACAGATCAGAGATTGTAATGGGCCGCGAGTGGGATAAAAGGAAAATGAGTATAAAGATGGGCCAAGCCAGAAAGAGAAGTGACAGTGCAACCGTTTCGACAGAACATTGGTCGAGGGATTGACTTGACTTGTCCCTTTGACGAATTGTAGCTGAAATTGGTGAAATTGGAGAAGGTCAATACGCTCTGACGCTGCTGGCGAAATGTTTGATGATGTACCAAGTCCGCGATCTGACGCTATGAATTCAAATAACTTTGGACAAGGTGCTTCAGCTAACTCGACCTGACAACAAGACCAAGTTGCGAAAAAAAGGGTCAACACACTTGCGACCATACCGAGGGCCACAGCATCTTGGTCTGCATATCTTTGTTCTTTTAACTTATACTTCACCTCGAGCCAAATAGGACTGCAAAAACTGCATATTTGTGAACAGTAGTCCAACTTCAGTATTAAACCGGCCTGTACCATTGAGTCGTGTCGTCTGCCGGACACTTGACTTTGTCTGACTGGCCCACAGCTCTCGTAGACTGTTCAATCTTGCAGACCTCGACTTGTGCAGATGGCATTAATTGAAAAAGTATTTTAGCCTCGAACTTGTGATACTACTTTAAAGCTACTAAATAGTAGAATTTTCAAAGGCCATGCAACCTGGGCTAGTCGTCTGGTGGTTGAAATGTGTTTAGAAATTTGTATCATTTGCAGCGTTGCCATTCGAAGGATCATGAATGTATGCATGGCCGATGGTTCTGTGGCATGGCAACACACGTTTGCCAAACTTCACTCACGAACAGGCATACCAACTTGTACAGATGGCATAAATTAAAAAAAAAGTATTTTAGCCTCGAACTTGTGATACTACTTTAAAGCTATTAAGTAGTAGAAATTTCAAAGGCCATGCAACCTGAGCTAGTCGTCTGTTGGTTGAAATGTGTTTAGAAATTTGTATTATTTGCAGCGTTGTCACTCGAAAGATCATGAATGTATGTATGGCCGATGGTTCTGTGGCATGGCAACACACATTTGCCAAACTTCACACACGAACAGGCATACCAACACCACGACAAAATGGTGGATGAGGCTAGAGTCATGATGAGAGATTAAGGATTATTGTCTAAAGAATGGCCACTGGAATAACGTCCCGGAACAGGGAGGGGTCAATCAATCGCTATTTGTGCCGCGAAATGTCGCGAAAAATCTGTACTTTTCGGTAGCCATAGACGCACTTTTATCTGCCCCCCCAGTGGCAGGAGGGTGAGAGGACAGAGGTATTTGGTTTCTAAGGCACCGGATTGACCAAATTAGGGCTTAAAGAGGCTATCGAAAGACTGGACTTTGCGAAGAAAAGTTGGGTTTATAGAAAGCTCTTATTCACCCATTGTTGCTGGTGTCTGTGGCTAAGTGTGAAATATGAGAGTTTCATCGAGATCAACAAATTAGGTAATAAATTGACTGCAAGGAATACCAACAGGAAGTTAAGTAAAAACTACTTATGCCTACTTAATAGATTCAAGGATAAAGGGTAGAGTGTCTGTTGCAAAAACGAGGCGACTAAATCAGTCCTTTCTTTTTATGTCTCGGTTCCAAACACGGTCACTTTTCTGTACAACTTAGCCCACACTTTCTCTCTCAAGTGAAGACAAAAAGTGTCGGACTTGCGCAGTCGGAATGATGGTTGAAATATAAAGAAAAATGGGGTTGTGGAGTTCATCAAACCTTATTGGCCGAGAACAGAGGATACTTGAAGATGCGTCCCCATATTTCATTTAAGATAATAAAGGACTGTCAGTCGAATTTTCCCACAATCAGTTGAGTAGATCTGCCGTCTTCATTAAATTTATGCGAATAAAAGTTGGGTTTAGAGGAATTTCTTGTTTCATAAATGTTGAGCTTACTTCCTATTTCGATTGAAAGTGTTGCGCGAAGATATTCTAAAGTCGATTCCACCAGAAGAAAACTCGTTAGCTTGAATTTTGTTGTGACGATACTATCTTGCTGTGATGATGTTCGTCACATGACGGACGAAAGCATAGCACCTTTTCACCGGAATCTAAGAAGATTACCTCGGAAACAGCATCAGTATGAATGTTCCAGTAAAGCCAATCGACAGTTGGTCAAGAGAAATCCGCCGTCGTCTTCTGGTGGAATCGGTCTTAGAATTTTTTTATCCAAAACTTTTACTCTAAATGGAAGTAAGCTCAACAATTCATTAAATTTCCCATCGCCTTGCTTCCTTAGAAGGTATTTTCATGCCGACTCGAATGGACCTCAGGTTTGACCTCGCCCCAGCGGAACTTGAACCACGACAATGCAGCGTGTAATCTGGACGTCTTCCCACTACGCTACATTGCCGCGAGTGACCTAAGGTCACAAGGCAGATGTGAATTTAAAGGAAGACCAGTCATTTTCCCAAATCACATTCTGTTGTAGGTTTGCCGATGAAGCAAAGTTGTATTTTCCGTTGCAATCGACAACATTACTTATTTTGATTTTGAATAGGTTTTCGAGACTACTAGTAAATTAGATAAATGATATATCTGGTAGGCTCGGACATCTACTCAACACTAATTACTTTGTTTTTCGAATAAAGTAATGTTTTCGTGACTACCAGTAAATCGGTAATATGAGATGTATTCACCCTCATTCGTATAAGGTGATGAATGACTGGTAGTAGAAGAAAAATTTTCCCACAATGATGTGAGTTGAGCTGACGTTTCCAGTCGTTCATCATCTTAAACGAAATTTGGTGAATACATTTCATACTACTGATTTACTGGTAGTCACGAAAAAAGTACTTAATTCGAAAAATAAAGTATAGTAGTCGATTTTTATAGCAGATATACGTTTGCTATATCGACAATTCCACACAAAAATATATGATATGGCAAAACGGCCTGGCTTTCCTTGAAAATTCACACTTGCTCTGTGACCCACAAAGACGCTCGTGGCAAGGTGGTCGAGCTCCCGTCCCTCACTGTCACGGTTCGACTCCCGCTGAGGGTGTTCATAAGACCAGTTGATGCGAGGTCGAAACTGCTATCCAGTGGTGCCTGGATGAAAACAACTTTTGGGAAAGCAAGGCTATGTGAAATTGAATGGAAACGTCGGCTCAAATCATATGATTTGTGGGAAAATTCTTCTTCTTCCAGTCCTTCATCACCTTAAACGAAATTGGGTGAATACATCTCATACTAATTACTTTGATACATGAGATACAGCAACCCTACATACATGCGAACTACGAGTTACATTGACTCATCACTCCTGTTCATGAACATATACGAACACATGAAGACACACAAACACACACAAACAGACTCAGCCATACGCTTCTTGGGTGACATGTGATTTAAACTAACCAAATGCCCTTCTTCCTCATTAAAGAGCTTAGATTTAGGGTATGCTTACAGCATTTAGGAATGAGCCGTAGAGTGCTCTTGACTCGTCAGCTTGAGTATGATTTTGAAGGTGATTATCTGCTCTGAGGAATTCTGTCATACAACAGACGAAAGCTTAGCAAGTTTTCACCGGAATCGAGGAGGATTGCCTGGGAGACATCTTCAACAAAAATGTTCCATTAATTCCAATCGAGAGCTGATTAAGAGGGATCCATCGGCGTCTTCTGGTGGGATCAAATGTTCAGTTTATTCATCAAACATCTTCACTCGGAACTTCAACGTGATTGGATTTTGTCAGCAGACGGAGATGGCTGCAGTGGACAATCTTTCGGCGAGCCGAGCGCGGCAGGAAACTGGCCAAGAATGCAATTCGCGATTGGGTTTTAAGGTGAAAATGGAGGATGCAGGACTGTAAACGTTGACGGTGGATTGTTTAAGCAGACAGAGATTCGGGAAGAATTAATAAGTTGGAAGTGTGGACTGTGGATTGATGGTGAAAAAGTCGTTTTGAATGTGCGGATCAAGGAAAGAAGATTGCGAAATTGTGAAATGAAGTGTACAATGCGAAGATGTGCATTTGAGTAGAGATTAGAAATTGTTAATTGAGATTAGGGAGAGTGAATTAAAACGGGGGTGTGCAGACAGGGACTGGGGATAACTCTAAAATGTAAATTAAGAAGATGTGCAGAAATTGGATTGCATCCTGAAACCTGCAATTTGGAGCAGTTGAAGGAAGTCTGAAAATAGGAATTGAGAAGAACTGAGAATCTGGGGCAAATAGTG